TTCGATGTTTCTCTCTCATCGATGTTTCTAACTCTCTATCTCTCTCCCTTCCTCTCTGTAAAAAATCAATAAAATATATTTAAAAAAAAAAAAGAAGAGACACCAGAGAGCTTCTGTCTCTCTCTCTCTCTGTCTCTCTGCCATGTGAGGACACGGAGAAGACAGCCATCTGCCACCTGAGCTCTCACCTTGATCCTGGACATCCCTCCTCCAGACTGTGAGGCGTTTCCTGTTGGTGAAGCCCGGCCTGTGGCATCCGATGGAGCCTGAGCTGAATGATTCCTCTGTGAGTCAGCAAGGGCTCGGAGGGGCCAGGAGAGCGAGGCAGGGCCCCGCGGCGCTCGGAGCAGCAGGACCCGCGGGCTCAGCAGTGTGAAATCGTGCCGTGGGGCACCGACACAGTCATTTCATGCTGTTTTATAACAGCAATTAGCATCCACATGGGAGGAAGAATGTTAAAGTCCAAGGTCCTTGACTTCAATTTAAAAACCTCAGTACTACACGTGTGTAGCTTAAAAGTCAGCTGTGTCACACAGCTTACAACGACACGGCTGTCCTCCGCCGTCCCGACTCCACCAGCTCACCACACACTCAACTCCTCAAGCTCGTTCCTCGGTTACTTAACAAATAAATATGCATATACTATTTATTTTTTACTGAGGTGACATTGGCTAATAAAATTATATAGGTTTCAGGTGTACAATTCTATAACACATCGTCTGTATATTGTATTGCGTGTTCACCACCCCAAGTCTCTTTCCATCTGCTATTTCTTGATTCATATTGTTTATGCATCTATTTTATCCTCCATCTAAGGCAGTGGTTCTCAACCTTCTGGTCCTTTAAATACAGTTCCTCATGTTGTGACCCAACCATAAAATTATTTTCGTTGCTACTTCAAAACTGTAATGTTGCTACTGTTATGAATCGTAATGTAAATATCTGATATGCAGGATGGTCTTAGGCGACCCCTGTGAAAGGGTCGTTCGACCGCCAAAGGGATCTCGACCCACAGGTTGAGAACCGCTGATCTAAGGGAACACCTATAACACTACTGAGGGCCTACTAAGTGTCAGGCATTTCATATATCAAGTCCGTTTCATTTGATATATAAAAGCCATTCACCCCATTTTACAAATGAGAAAACTGAGGCACAGAGAGATGGGACAATTGGTCCCAGAGCAAGTCAGTGGCAGAGCCAGAGTCTGACCCCAAGTGTGTTGGCCTCCAGATTCACACACACATCGGGTTTCTCAGCCTTGGCATTACAGGGTCTTCTCGCTGGGTCCCGTCTTCTCCTCTCTCGTTTTGCTCCTCTGTTGTGCTGGAGCACAGCTGCTGGTAGCTTTCTACGAAAAGGCAGATGGGAAAGAAATGCGCAGGTCTGCCGGCGTGTTTGTTCTCCCATCACACTTGGCTGATAGTATGACCAGCGAAGATGTCTGGGCTGAAAGTCACTTTCTCTGCGAATGCTGAGGCCTCACTGCCTTCTAGCTTCTGCAATGGCTGCTGGAAAATCTAATGCGGCCCTGCTCCCCTCTTCCTGGCATGTTGCTTGCATTCTCCCTCTCTCTGGTAGCTTTTAGCTTTCTCTTCGTTAAGTCTTGAAATCATACGTGGTGTACATGTGGGTGGGTCTTTTTCATTATGCTGGCTGTAGGAAGACCCTTCCAGTCTGAAGAGGGACAGATGGCTCTCCCTCCAACTTCTGTCTCATTCCTGGACCAATGAGGTGAGGACTATCGTTAAGTGGCGAGTATGTGCGCAGCCCCAAGCTTTAAGTCCAATGTGTTTTAAGGCACCATGTTGGCCAAAACAAGTTTGCCAGCCAAACGCAGCCCTCCAAGCCTCTAGTCTGTGCCATCCACTGAAGACATTGTCACAAGTATGGGCTTTGCCCTGGCCAGTTTGGCTCAGTGGATAGAGGGTCAGAGGGTCGGCCTGCAGATTGAAGGGTCCAGGTTTGATTCTGGACAAGAGCATGTACCTCGGTTGCAGGCTCAATCTCTGGCCCTGGTAGGGGCCTGTGCAGGAGGCAACCAATCAATTATCTCTCTCACATCCATGTTTCTCTCTCTCTGTCTCCCTCCCTTCCACTCTCTCTAAAAATCAATGGAAAAATATCCTCAGGTGAGGATTTAAAAATTAAAAAAGAGTATGGGCTTTGAAGACAGACAGATGAGCAGACAGACCTGGTTTTGACTCTTAGCTTCTTATCTGTAAAATACAGTTTCAAATCATAGAGCTGTTGTAAGGAATATATGAAATAATGCAAGTAAAGTGCTTACTGCAGGGCCTGGCATGTAGTAAAGGTTTAATTTATAATAGCTGTTATTGTGGTGAATCAGAGAATAGTATATATATAATGAAAGGGTAATATGCTAATTAGACCAGACGTCTTCCGGATGTCATTCTGGACATGCTTCCTGATGAAGCTGCAGCTGGAGGGAAGCCAGTGTCTGCAGCCTGGGGAAGGAAGGCCTACTCTTGCACGAATTTTCCTGCATCGGGCCTCTAGAGCCAATTCACAAAATTCCCTCACATTTGGAGCAGTGGCGCCACCTCGTGCTCATCACTAAGAACTGCAGCGCAGTGTAGCGAGCCTAACAGAGGTTTCAGAGTCAAGTTGGGCTTTAGGGTCAAACAGACAACGGTATTCATCATTTAGGAAAAGAAAGCTAAGAAGCTTTGAGATGTTAATGGAAAGAGACAGGATTTGAACCAGCGGCGCAATTTCCTAGCTATTGCACCGAACCACACTGCTGTTCTGCCAGCACATAGCAGTGTCTGACCCACAGCCACCTGACTCCATCAAATGTGGGGCTTCCCTTCTCTTGGTGGGCCAGCAAGACAGGGGCAGAGAGAACGGGAGGGAGGGAGATGTTCAGCCTCCACAGGCACAGTCAGAATTTTGCACAAGGAAAAAACATTAAGAGCCTATTTTAGTTTCAGCATACGTGCACGTTTTGTGTTGTACAGTTTAGGTATTGTTTGCATTTTGTATTGTTTGTATTGCATGTTAGAGGGTAGATATAATTTTTTGTTAGAGGCTCCATATAATTTTTTCCATTTAAGGTTGTAATCTGGTTGTAATCTGGCTGGCTTTCTATTACATGCAGCCAAACATCTCTTCCAGCACAACCCGATCCTCTGTGGCTCCATCAGAGATTATGAAAATTCCCTTCTTGCCACAAATCCCAAATCTGAACCCACAGCTCCAGGGCCCTTCCCTTTCTCTTTGTGGAAGAGTCCTGCTGAGACCCCAAGCCAGTGGTCAGTGATCATGGGCCTGGGCATTGCCCACAAGGTGGTTTTTAGTTCCCCTACAGCACAAGCACCTTAAATGAATCCCAGTCGTAGCGGAGGACCAAACTGCCTGGAGCTGTCATTGGCCTGGACTGGAAAAGACACCAACCAGGCTGCACCTGGGCCACCAGGGGGCGCCCGACTCCGACCAATCTTACCTGACTCCCGGGTCCCAATAGGGGCTCAGGAATGAGCCTCCTTTTAAACCATCCAAGGTGATTTTAATATAGCCATCCTGCTATCCCTAACCCTTCTCTCCCATTACACACACACACACACACACACAGCCAGTCTACAGACCAGCCAACTGGGCTGGCTGCCCACCCCTTCCTTGTTGAGTATATTTTCAAAGTCCTGGGGATTAGAACTCTCTCCTTATTCCATTCCCCCGCCCCCACTCCTCCAAGTCCATCCTTCTTTCTGGTGATGTTTAGATCATTCTGGGGTTTTGAAAACGTCTTTATCACCCATAATACACCTCCTTCGACGCTCACAGCGGTACTACCAGTGAACAAGGCGAGCAACGGGTTATGGCCTCCTTGGAAGAAGAAGAAATGAGGCACGGTCGGATGTAATGACTGACACACAGCAAGTCACTGGTGGCACTGGGGAGAGAACCAGGTCACCAAACCACTCCTGGACCTGCCTGAATTCCAGCCTATTGATGGGCGAGGGACCCTCTCCGACAACCATGTCACCAGGGCTGTGTCTTTGGGAGAAACTTAATGGCAAGTGTTGATTCACAAAGAGGTCAAGACAATTGCTTTCCTGCCACTGACTTGCTGTGCAACCTGGGGCAAGTCTCTCTGAACCTCTGTAGAGTCTGAAGATGGCCCCTGGGTCCCCCTCTGAGACGTCCTGTGGCCTTCTCACTGGGGCCTGAATCATCTCCACCCCTTTGGGGCTTCCAAGGTCGTCAATCAAAACGCCCAGGGCTAATGGCAGCACTGTCGTGCAACAGTAGTGGTGACACCAATCTCCATTCTCAACTGCTTTCTACAGCTGGGCTCCCGTAAGCTTCAGCGTTTAGTGTAATCCTTACCACCACCCCAGGAGCTACCTGGTTCTATTACCTTCCCCCATTTACCCGGGGACACGCTTAGAGAGAGGGGGAGAGAGAGAGACAGAGACAGAGAGAGAGAGAGAGAGAGACACCCAGGAATATGCCCTGACAGAGAATCAAACAGGTTACCTTTCCATGCACAGGACGATGCCCAACCAACTGAGCCACTCCGGCCAGGCACCTTCCCCAGAGAGAGAGAGAGAGAGAGAGAGAGACACCCAGATATATGCCCTGACCAAGAATCAAACAAGTTACCTTACCATGTACAGGACGATGCCCAACCAACTGAGCCACTCCGGCCAGGCATCTTCCCCATTTTATAGATAAGGAAACTGAGGCTCAGAGAAGTAAAATAAGTAGGTGAGATTGGAGCCCAGGAAGACCTGACCTCAAAGGTGGGCTCTTTCTTCTACCATATGCTGCTCAGGGAAGCTTATGGAACTCAGCTTTAGAGATTCGGAGTCTGCCCAGCAAAGTCTGTGGTCCCTGAGCTGCCCCTCGAGAGGTATTATGGGAACTGTAAGACAGAGACGGAGCCCAGACCAGCATGGCCCAGGGCCCCCAGCCTCCCACACTCCCTCCACCAGTCCCGCATCCCGGGCCCACAAGCAGACGCCGCAGCCCCGCCGGAGCCTGTGAGCAGATGCAGATTTATTATCGCACAGATTGCAGCATTCTGAACCCTTGCCCCAAACACCAGCCCCCAAACCAGGCCTGGAAGCTGACAGCCTGGGCCAGACCAAGAAACCTGGACAACGACCCAGAGCCCAGGCCTGGAGCCTGGCAGCCCTCAGCAGTGCCCAACCTGCCCCTCATTCCCCAGGAGTCCAGAAAAGCCCAAACACAGAGGCAGAGCCACGGGCCCTGGCCAGTGGAGGATGGCGAATCTGCAGGCTTCTCTCCGCAGAAATGCAGTCCATGACCCAGCCACGCGGCGAGGCCCCCGCAGGGCTGAACAGCAAGTGTGAAGCTGGACAGAGGTCCCAAGTATTGAGGCGGAAGGGAAAGCACACCCATCAGAAGGCACTTCAGGCCGCAGAGCTAGTCTGGGGAGGCCGGGCCACCACTCCACGGCCCCCAGGTCCACAGGAACAGAGGGAAGGAGAGCAGCAGCCGCTCAGCTCTGCCTGGACGTCACTGTCCCGTCCTTCCTGCCAGGGACCGGGAACGTTCACTCCTTCCGCCCAGGGGCAGCTTCTGCCAGCCCTCAGCTTCTACCCACCGCAGCCAGCACAGGCCCGAGACCCAGGTGGTGCCAAACACCTGTGACGAGCTGCATGCAAACCTCTCTGCCACGCAAGCCGGGGGCTCGTCATCACACAGAGGCACCGGGTGGGAGCCTTGGACCCGGTCCTCTCCCTGGGAAACGCTTGCTGACAAGCAGCCTGTCTTCAGCACCTGCCTGAATGTCTGGCCCAGGGGAATCTGTCTGGGCTTCCAAAAGCTTCCATGCGCTATGTCCCCTGAGCCTGCTGTGGGCCCTGGTGGGGGAGGCGGCCAAACCAACTCACCGGGCATCACGGCAGCTTTATCTCGCCAGCCCAGGCTCCGGCACGGTGACCTCCGCACCCTGAGCACACTTGAAACTCTAAGTGCAATGCCAGCCTCGGGCTCAGACACACCCAAATACAGGGGCCATCCTAACTCCCCAGCCCTTCTTCCCAGCCCCACTCCCTGGCCACCTGGTCGGTAGCTTCCTAGCCAAAGGCTCCAGTCCCTCCCGTCTCCTCCTCTTCCGTTGGTCCGGAAGGGAAGCTAGCTGGACAGGTGGGAGGAGACAGGAGCACTGCATTCTGGGATATTCAAACCGAGCATGTCCATTTCCTCTACTGTCATCCAGAACACCTGTAAGCAGGGGACAGAGTGTGTGCTGGGTCACGACCTTCTGAGAGCGTCTCCCTCGCGGCTGGCCCACCCAGGGAGCTGTCAGCCCAGCAGCCAGAGGTTAAGTTAAAGCAGGAGAGGGGGAGCAAGAAAGGGACTGGGATTTCATATTAATACTCTGGTTTGGTGACTTCTCCCAAAACACACAAAGCCCAGGGAGGGGGTGACCTACGGACAAGGTGAGGGAGTGGATGAGGATGAGGGACAGGAGCAATCAGGGCTTTCCCTGCCCCTGGGCAAAGCTCTAGGAGGGTTTCCAGCACATTCTATCCCTCTGGGCACCTCCGTCACCCAGCACGGGCGCCATGGGAGGCCTCCTTAAATGTTTGCAGCGTGGGTGTGAGCTGGGACCCAGGGCTCCGGGTCCAGAGTCCAGTCCTCCTTGGCCACCCTGCCCAGCACTGCAGAAAGGTGGGTCTCTGTGTCCTCAGCAGGAACTCCTGGCTCTGCAAAGAGACAGCGAGAAGGTCAGGTGAGGGAAGGAGGGAGGGTACACGGAGGCTGGGCCAGGTTCAAGGCAGGGTTCAAGCCTCGGGCTTGATCTTCTCTGGGGCAAGATACCTGCCCCACGGCTCTGACTCAGTGGGATCAGACACAATTCATTTTCCCTCCGGATGCTGCCTCTGCTCACTTGCAGGTGCTGTTCCCTTTGCCTGGTTCCCTTCCCTTCCTCTCTCCTCCCCGCTGCCAACAGGCTCACCCCCTCCCTCCTTCAGGTCCCTGCAGCACTCATTCCCAACCCCCTGTGAAACACACATGTACCCCAGGCGGCACCTGCAGGCTAATGTTGTCATTGGCTGTTTACATGGTGACAGGACAGGGATTCCTTCTCCTTCTCTGGAACTGAGGTGGATTCCCCAGCCCACACTAAGCTAGGACTGGGAGGAGGGCCTTCGGTGGGGCAGGCAGGAGGCAGACACCCTGTTAGCATCACCAAGCACAGGACTTACCCTGTAAAGACTGGTCCTGGCAGGAGAAAGATTTTATTTGTCTGGTACAGGGGTCCTCAAACTTTTTAAACAGGGGGCCAGTTCACTGTCCCTCAGACCGTTGGAGGGCCAGACTATAGTTTAAAAAAAAAACTATGAACAAATTCCTATGCACACAGCAGCGGCAAAAACACCCGGCGGGCCGGATAAATGTTTTCGGCCGCATGTGGCCCGCGGGCTGTAGTTTGAGGACCCCTGGAGATACTTCAGCCTGAGACCAGTGAGAACCACTTAACCTTTAACCCAGCCCACTTCACCTCTTTTTCACGGGACCTTACCCAGACCACCCTCCCAGCTCCATCACAGGGAGAAAACCAATGGACGGAACCAACTGACTGACAGAGGGTTTCAGGAACGCTGGGGGCTGGGGGGTGAGAGAGAAAGAGAGGCGGAGAGAAGAGGGTCCGGCCATCCCAGCTGAACTCACTCCAGACCTGTGAGGGTCTGGGGAGTCAGGGGGGCAAGAGCTGTTTTGCTTGACATTTGAGCTGCGAGACTTTTACACAATGAGCTGTAAATTAAGGGTTTACTCCCACTGTGTTCACCCCATTTCTCATTCCCTAGGAGTCCAGGAGTGAGTCCCTACTGTATCCCTAGATCCCAGCAAAGCAGTTGCTCAGTAAATGTTTGTCAAATGAATGGATAAGTGAGAGGAGCCCCCAGTGCTCACCTGATAGAAACCAGGTGCTCACAGATGTTGAGCTAATGAGAGGTGCACGTGTGTACGTGTGTGTGTGTGTGTGTGTGTGTGTGTGTGTGTGTTGATCTATCAAATCCACATTCTCCTAGATCCCTGCCTCTGATGGGGCAGGTATCCTCAATTAACCACAGGATGAAGGCCCAGGAGGCAACAGGCCGTTTTTTCCAGCAATTCCAACACCCTGGTGCCCAGAACTTTCAATGAGCTTCCACCCCCTCCCCCAGCCTCACCTGGCAGACGAGGGTCAGGTCAGGAGGTGAACGAAGAGGATAGCCAGGCCGATGTTAAGCAGGATCACCATGCAGATGAGGACGGTGTTGGGGACCTGGGAGCAAGGGAGAGAGGTTGCCTGTGTCCCCATGGCCTCTGAACCACCCCCTCTTCCCCTCCCCATCACTACAGGGCGGACAGAAAGCAGGAACCTCGGAAGGGCCCTCCTGAGAGCACCCCCCCCCTCCACCTGCTCCCTGCTGTGTCCAGCACCAGGACGGAGGCCACCAGAGCTGGAAGAGTTCTTGAAAATAATTAACCGAGCCACTCAGGGTCCCAAGACGGGCAAGGACGTGTCCCAAGCACTCGGCGGGCAGTGCTGGGCTTGGAACCCAGGAACGGGCCTTCCCTCGAAGTCCTCCGGGGCTGCATTCATCAGTCCCTAGGAGCCTAGTGTCACTGTCACTGCAATTCCTACCTAGGTCCTAGCCTCCTCTAACAAGCCCTAGTGGGCCCTTCCTGCCCCTCCACTCCCCCCAGGTAAGCCCTCCCTGCTACACCCTGTAAAAGAGGATCCCCCTGGCCCTGCAGATGCACCCCTCACTCCCGGTCATGCCAGCTGCTTAGGCTCCCAGCTGCCCCCTGCGGACCAGATAAAGGTCCACAGGCCAGGCCCCTGTCCCGCCGTGAGGGACTCTTTAGTGTCACATGCTCCCAGGGATCAGGCTGTCCCTGACTGAGCCCACTTCCCTGTTGGGGTTCCCCCAGCCCAATCCTGTGCCATCACCCTCCCCAGCAAGCCACCCTCCCGGGATCCTGCCCCTGCAGGGACCTGGACCTCAGCCCCTCCTGCAGCAGCCTCACCTCCTCCACTTCCACCTCGGCCCCTGCCCCCAGCGCCGCCTCCTTCCGAGACTTCTTCTTGGCCGCAGCCTTGGTCAGCCCTCGGGCCTCAGTCTTGCGGGCCTTGGCCTTGGGCTCGGCTTTGGGGACGATGGGCTTGGGCTCCAGCTCGGGCGTCTC